TATATGTGAACTGCTGTATGAAAAGTGAATTTACTCTGTAAATCTTCACCCAAATCCTAATTTAAAAATAAATAAATAAATAAAATAAATACTGAAATAATATTTTGGACATGCAGTATTAAATGAAATGTGTAATTGAAGTTTATTTCACCTCTTGTTAAATATTTTTAATGTGGCTACCAAAAAATGTAAAGTTATATATGCTGACATTATGTATTTTCATTGTCAGCATTGATCTATAGCATCTCTTTTGAGTTTTGTTTTGTTTTTCTCTTATAGGTTGGACTAGACTTCTCCCCCCGATTTGCCAGCACTGATGAACAGAAGGAAGGACAAAGACAAGTCCTGATCAGACAGATCCAGTTAGCCAAAAGACTAAATTTGCCTCTGTGGGTTAATTAATCATCTTTCTATCATAATAGCTATAGAGCAAATAATGATCAAAGCGATCCTCCTGAAACAATCTCTGCGTTTCTTTCTCTCTGAATGTAATTGAGAGAATAAAAATACAGTGAAACCTGTGAGAGTCGGAACTTGTTGGGATTACCTTGTTTATACAGATCTCACAAGGTTTCTGCCTTTCATAGTGCTGCAGTATTATCACTTTTCTATAGGTCTCTATTAGTAGAAAATGTTTTTGTTTTCCTTCTTTTATAGGTTTTTGCCCTTACACACGTTCTGCCCTTTGCAGATTTTACTGTCATATTAATTTTCAGACCTAAGTCCTTTTTGTTTTTAAATAGAAATGTCCACTCACGCTCAGCTGGAAGACCCACCATCAACCTCTTACGTGAGCAAGGTATTTGGGTTCCAGAGAGAAATGTGCTTTATGCTTAAGTATGACAATTCCAGTCCATATTCTCATAGAGCAAGCTGTGTTTTAATTAGACTTCTTAATGGAAAGGGAATGGGCAAGGGTGGACGTGGGAATCAACTAAGGTGATTTTGCAAGTCAGGTTCTTGTTTACAAAGTTTTTGGTGTGATTATGATCGTCATCAAGCTGTTGTTGTTGTTGTTGTTGTTGTTGTTATGTGCCGTCGAGTTGGACCCAACTCATAGCTACCCCTCCTTGGATTTCTGAAGCAGTATCACTATGGAAGTAGATTGCCCAACCTTCCTTCTGAGGAGTGGCTGGTGGGTTTGAACCACCAGCCTTCTGGTTAGCAGTCAAATGCCTTAGGCACTACGCTACCAGAGCTCCTAGTTATGAAGCTGTTGTTGTTGTTGTTATGTGCCGTCGAGTCAAACCTGACTCATAGCGACCCCTCCTTGGGTTTCCGAGGCAGTATCACTACGGAAGTAGGATTGCCCAACCTTCCTTCCGAGGAGTGGCTGGTGGGTTTGAACCGCCAGCCGTCTGGTTAGCAGGCAATTGTCTTAGCCACTATGCTACCAGAGCTCCTAGTTATGAAGCTAGGAGAGAGCAAATGAAAAATTGGAGCAAATAAATTATATTCTTTAATTAAAAATTTATCAGTTGCAATTTCTTAATCAGCTTAACTAGCAGATTAATGAGGGAGAGGAAAATTGAGGACAAAGAAGGACAATAATGCAGTCCTGACATTGGATCACTGTTTTGTGTGTTTTCTGGTTGCTGCTTCAGAAAACAGTATTATATAGATTGTAGCTATCATACCTAAAATGTACTTACATCTTCATAGAGTAAAACTGGATCTTATTGTTCCTAAAGTGAAAACATATCTTACAGAATTATTTTTAAACTGCTTTAAGTACCACCCACAATAAGAAATATTTTTGAGACTCAGTATTTACACCTGTGAAAAACTGATGAAAGTTTAACAATAGAATATATACGTGTGTGCACATATATGTAAATGTGTTTATACACATATAGTACACACATTTGCACACTGTGGTTGTGACCCATGATACTGATTTTGTAACTCACTTATGGTCATAACCTACTAATGCTCATACCTACCATTTGAAAAACGCTGTCAAATACTGAAGTAAATGTCAATGCAAATGAAAAGCATTGTGATTTTCAGTGATGGAAACAACCTTTCTGGAATTGTTGAAAAGCATAGTTTTTATGCAGGCTGAGCAGCATGAAAAGGGCTAGAGATGGTTTCAGGAAGCCATCTCTGACTTAAGTTTGTGAGTCATTTCACTCTCCTATTTCTCCTTCCACTGGCATTTCTATTAGGAAAATCATTTTTACTGCTTAAAAATCTTAGGAACAATAATTTGACAGCTCACAAATTCTAGAAAAGGTTCAATGGTACAGGAAGTTTAAATAATTGTTTAAAAATTTATATTTCAATTTTCTTTAATAATTTTATTCTGAGGATTAAGAATTTACTATAGTTCTTATTCTGCTATCTAGATACTACGTTTATGTACATTTTAGTAGCTCTAGACCCTCAACTTCATATCATAATAGTGGACGTTTACTTAAAAGCTGTGATCTTTGTTGTTCAGTTTGATTGATGAGAAAACCTCCTGTTAAGAAAATGAAATGGAACTCTCTGATTTATCTTTTAATTTTTGAGAGGTGCTGACAAGGTGCTGCTACACGCATTTGACGGTCGGCCATCTATAGCCATGGAGGGAGTAAGAGCTGGGTATTTCTTCTCTATTCCTCCTTCTATTATAAGAAGTGGACAGGTAAATTCTTTCATTAATCCTCATCTGACATTTTGTGAAATCATTTTAGAATACATGCTTTTATTACATACTCATTATACTATTCTAATTGCATTATAAAAATTAATCTTTGTTATCTACCTGATACTATATAAAATAGATTAAAGATCTAACTGTAAAAGCCAAAGCTGTAAAATTCTTAGAAGAAAACAGGTGTAAATCTTGGTAATATTGGATTAGGCAATAGTTTCTTAGATTTGACACTAAAACCAGAGGCAGCAACAACAACAAAAATAAAATAGGTGAATTGGACATCATTAAAATTAAAAACATCTGTGTTTCAAAGAACTCCATCAAGAAAGAAAAGATAACCCACAGACTGGGAGAAAATATTTACAAATAATATATATGATAGGAATCTAGTTATTGAGAATATATAAGAACTCTTAGAGTTCAACAATGAAAAGACAAACCAATTTAAAATGGACAAAGCATTTGAGTAAACATTTCTCTATTCAAATGACCAATAAGTACATGAAAATGTGCTTAGCATTGTTAGTCTTTGGAGAAATGAAAATCAAAACCACAAGGAGATACCACTTTATACCCACTAGGATGGCTATAATCAGAAAGCCAGACAGTATCAAAAGTGTTGAGAATGTAGAGAAATTGGACCCTTCACATATTGCTGGTAATAATGTAAGACGGTATTGCTACTTTGGGAATCAGTTTGACAGTTTCTCAAAAAATGAAAGAGTTACCATATGACCCAGAAGTTCCACTTCTAAATATTTAAACAAGAAAACTGAAAATACATGTCCACACAAAAATTGGTAAACAAATGTTCTTAGCACTGGTACTTATAATTAGCTGAAAAGTAGAAAGAATAATGCCCTCAAAATGTGATATATCCACACAATGGAATGTTTTTCAGCCATAAAAGGGAATGAAGTACTGATTCACGCTAAACATAGATGAACCTTTAAAACATTATGCTAAGTAAAGGAAGGCAGACCCCGGAGGCTATATATTGTATGATTCTGTTTATATGAAATGTCCAGCATAGGCAAATCTGCAGACACAGAAAGTGGATTAGTGATTTCTAGGGACTAGGGGAAAGAAGAATAGAGAGTAACTACTGATGGGTACAGGGTTTTTTGGGGGGATAATTAAAATGTACTGGACTTACATTGTAGTGATGGTTGCACAACTTTGTAAATAGACTAAAAACCACTGAACTATATATACCTTTAAAAGCATGAATATTCATGGTATGTGAATTTTATCTCAAAAATAAAAAGATGTCATGTTAGGTACTTTAACATATTTTATCTACTTTCAGGCATTCATTTTTCCATCTCTAAAATCGGAATGAAAGTTAAAATTAGTGTACCTTAAATTCTGTGAAATACAAAGAGTTCTCTGGCAGTATTCAAGCACTAATTTAAGTAGACTATAGACCAGAACTTTAGCTAATTCCTCTTTTTTTTTTTCCCCAGTATCTCATCAGCCATCATTTGTCTGTTTTATAGTTTTTTAGTTGTTTTTAAAGTCAAGTTTATTGAAAAATTTGCCTGTAGTGATTGACTTTTCATATAATTCTATGAGTTTTGACAAAACTTTAAACTGTCATGCAATCATTACCACATTCAAAATAGAGACTGTTTCCTTCATCCCCCAAAAAAGTTGCTTTATGAAACTGTCTAACCAACCCACTTTTTCTATCCCCACTCTCTGGCAACCACTGATTTGCTTTCTGTCCCCAAACCATACTTTTGCCTTTTCAAGAGTGTCAAATAAATGGAATCATATAGCATATAGGCTCTGGGTTTGCCTTTTCTCAGCTTAATGCTTTTGGATTCACCCCTGTTGTTGCATGTATAGTTTATTCATTTTGAAGGCTGAGTAGTATTTGTTGTACAGATATACCAGAGTTTATCTGTTAGCCAATTGATGGACATTTAAGCTATTTCTGGTTGAGGGCTGTTATGAATAAAGTTCCTATAGACATTATCAGACAGCCTGTGGACATATGTTTTCATTTCTCTTGGCCTACTACCTACAAGTATTGCTGGTCATATGGTAAATGTATGTTTAGCTTTACAATCAAAGTGGTACTCAAATTGGCTATACTGTTTTGAATTTCTACCAACAATGTGTGAGAGTTCCAGTTTTGTACCCTTGGACTAGGCATTGTGGTTTGTTTTTGTTTTTGTTTTTCTTGTCCAGCCATTCTAATACATGTGTAGTAGCCATCACTTAACGTTTTCATTTGCATTTCCTCAATGACTAATGATGTTAAACATCTTTTCATTTGCTTGTTTACTATCTATACATCCATACCTCCTCTTTGGTGAAATACCATTTAAACCTTTTGCTTCATTTTAATTATGTTGTTTTCTTATTACTGAGTTGGTAGAGTTCTTTATATATTCTGGATACAAGTCCTTTTTCTGCTATGTGTTTTGCAGATATTTTCTCTGAGTCTTTTCATTTTTTCTCTCTCAAAGAGCATAGATTTTAAATTTTGATGAAGTTCAGGTTATCCTTTTTTTTTTCCCCTAAAGTTTGCACTTTCGATGTAATATCCAAGAAATCTGCCTAACTCAAGGTCACAAAGATTTCCTCTTTTTTTTCTAGAAGATTTATGGATCTAGGTTTTACTTTTAGCTCTATGAAACATTTTATATATAATACGAGTTTTGAGTCAGTAGTCTTTTTGTTTGGCTTTTGCCTGTAAAGGTCCAGTTCCAGTACCATCTGTTGAAGACTCTTCTTTCTCCCCTGAATTACATTGGCACGGTTTTGAAAATAAATTAACCTTATATTGGTTGGAGAGGGAGGGGGTTCTATTTCTAACAGTTTTATTCTGTCCCATTGATCTGTATATCTATCCTTATACCAATACGGCAATGTCATAATTACTATAGATTTATAATAATTCTCGAAACCAGGTAATGTGAGTCCTCCAACTTTGTCCTTCATTTTCATAATTGATTTAGCCATTGTAGATCCATTGCTTTTCCATGTAAATACCAGAATCAGCTTGATGATTTCTAAAAAGAGCCAGCTGGGATTTTGACTGGGATTACGTTGGATCTATAGATCAATTTGGGGAGGATTGGTATGAACACTGTATATTTCTCTATTTATTTATATTTTCCTTGATTTCTCATCAATTTTTTGTAGTTTTCCACATGCAAATCTTATACATATTTGGCTAAATTTATCCCTCAGTCTTTCAGATTGCTGATGCTATTGTAAATGGTGTGGGCTTTGGTGGCGTAGTGCCTAAGGCATTTGATGGCTAACCAGAAGGCTGGCGGTTCAAACCCACCAGCCACTCCTCAGAAGAAAGGTTGGGCAATCTACTTCTGTAGAGATACAGCCTCAGAAACCCAAGGAGGGGTCACTGAGTCGGATACGACTCGATAGCAGTAAGTTATTGTAAATGGTACCATTTTTAAAATTTTAGTTCTCAACTATTTATTGCCAATATATAGAAATACAATTGATTTTTACAATTGTAATACAATTGATCTTAAACTTGGTATCAAGTGACTTTGCTAAACCGATTTATTCTAGTAGGGTTTTGTAGATCTTTTAGGATTTTTTTACATAGACTATCATGTCATCTTTGAATAAAAATATGGTTTTTTTTAACCTTTATAATCTGTGTGCCCTTTATTTGTTTTTCTTGCCTTGTTATACAATCACCAGTACAATGTCACTTTTGGTTTCTATGATTCTCTATGGTTTTTTCAATTTTTATTAATTTCTGTGTTATTATTTCATTCCTTCTGCTTGTTTTAAATTTGATTTGATGGTTATTTCATCTTTATTTCTCATGTGTTGAACTAACCAGCTATCTTTTTTTTCCTCTAAGAAGCAAAAACTTGTGAAACAGTTACCTTTAACGTCTCTGTGCTTAGAAACAGATTCGCCTGCACTAGGACCAGAAAAACAGGTAAATGATTTTCCAATTTCTACATTATTGAGGTTGTTTCTTTAACTTGACCTATTTCCAAATAAACTGATTCTCATTATAGTACAAATACAATGGAATCCTATTTTAATGCTAGGTTGAGGGATTATATTAACTTTATTTCGGGTTTTTTCTAAATATAACTGTTATGCTCCGGAGAATAAATTCAATATTGAACATGTTCTTATTTATGTAACAATGACAGCCAGACCAGTAGAGTAAAACCTGCTGTCCAGAATCAGAAAGACCTGGATTTAAATCCTGTCTTTGCTACCTTCTAGCTATATAACTAGGCAAGGCACTTAATCTCTCTGATACTATTGCTTTATTTTAAAAATATAGGCAAAGTAATAAATAAAGGATTCCAGTGAAGAGTAAATGAAGTCATGTATGTGAAAGTACCTAGCAGTGTCTGGTTTATAGCGGGTGCTCAATAAATGTTCAATTTTCTTCCTTCATTAGCCATGTTATATTGAGGTTCTTTTTCTTTCTGTACAAATATTTATGTATTCATAGGTTTATTTATGAAATCTTTACTATAGTATCTCATTTTGTTATTATAAAATAAAAAATCAAACTCACTGCCGTCGAGTCAATTGTGACTCATAACACCCTCTCCCTGGGTTTCCAAGGTGGATCTCTATGAAAGTAGGTTGCCCAGTCTTCCTTCTGAGGAGTGGCTGGTAGGTGTGAACCACTAGCCTTCTGGTTAGCAGTCAAATGCCTTAGGCACCATGAAAACTCACATTTTAAAGTTCATACTCTTTTATTTTGATACTGTTCTAAATTATATTTTTCTGAAAGGAAGCTACAGTGTCTGCTTTATTTAATTATATTATGGTCTTCTCCCAGTGTGTAGCTTACTAAGCATCTCTGTCTGCCCATCACATCTGTGTCTCCATGCCTGCCCCTTTAGGAGGACTAACATCCAAGTTTAAGAGGCTTAGGAACAGTAATGGTGTGATTATTAATAAATGATGGTTATTGTTTCAGTATGAATTTTGCTTATTACTATTCAGTTAATTATGTATCTTTTAAAATATGTGCTCATAAGAATATCAAAATAATAACTAAAGGGTGAAAACTACCTTAATGCCCATCAACAGAGGAGTGGATTAACTAAACATACCATATGTACAATGGAATACTATTCAGCCAGATAAATGAAGTCTTGGTATATGTTATAATATGGATGGAGCTTGAAGACATTATGCTAAATGAAATAAGTGAATCATAAATGGACAAACATTATATGACTTCACTTACAGAAAAAAACACAAGAATAGGCAAAAGTTTCTTAGTGGTTACCAGGGGCAGGAGGGAAGGGGAAGAAGAGGGGTTATTACTTATGAAGTACTGAGTTTCTGTTTACAGTGATGAAAAAAATTATATTGATTAAGGGTAGGGTTGCACAGCTGATTACTGGAATTTCTGTCATTAAGTTGTACACCTATAAAAAGTTGTATTGGAAAGAGTTGTGTGGTAGATACATTTAAAACAATAACAAGAGAAAGAGAGAATAGCTGCCAGGGCTGCTTATGTGTGCAATCAAACACTTCATGGGATTTCGTCCTTGGTTTGGAGGATTAGGGTCGTGGATTCATGGGACATCCCAGTTAACTGGCCTAATAATTTGTTCTATCTCCTAATTCATTGCATAGTGGCTGAGGTCTTAAAAGCTTGCAAGCGGCCATCTAAGGCACAGCAACTGGTCTCTATTCATCTGGAGCAACAGAGGAAGAAGGGGAGTACCGAATGGGAGGAAATGGAATGTGTGGTTAATTGGCTCCATGAATAACTGCCTTCTTTGCCATGAGACCAGAAGAACTAGATGATGTCTCATTAGCGTTAATGAACATTTTGATCAGAGATTCCATAGAAGAATCTTAATCAAAAAGGGGAAAATGTAGAACAGATTTTCACATTCTCATGGACTCCAGACTTTCTGGAGCCATGAAGGTTAGATGAACCCCTGAAACTATTGCTGTGCAATGATGTTTAGCCTTTAACTAAAAATACCCCTAAAGTCTTCTTAAAACCAAACAGTAGTTTAGCCCGACTAATAAAGAATGTCTGCCTTGAGCATTGTGTTCTTTTATTTTGATCTGTATGGGATCAAATTGGCAAAAGCAACTTACAAGATTAGGGGCAGTGAGTTTATGTTAATAAGGGAGGGACAACTCAGAAAAGGAAGGTGAGAATGATTGTACAACTTGAAGAATGTAAACAGTGTCCTTGAATTGTACATGTAGAAACTATTGATGTATATTCGGCTGTGTGTATTATCAACCAAAAAATTAAAATATTTTTAAAAAAAGAAGGTAAAAGAGAAGAATGAGACAACAGAGAATCACAACTCTAGTAATTTTTTTGTGTGAGTATAGAATAGAATGGTACACAATTGCTTTATTCATTGGTATAAAATGGAAGGAAAAGAACCTAGCATTTTTCTCCCTAAAAAGAATTATATTTTGGATGGTTTTGTAACCCAGTTTTATGTTTAGTTGATTTGACAAAAATTGTGAGTTTGTGGCATAGTGCCTTGTGTGTAGTAACCACTCAATAAATATTTATTGACCAGATATACTTTTTGTTAACAAGTAAAATATATCTGCTCTGGGAAATTTTAAACAAGAAAATAAAATCATCCATCATCCAAAGGTGACAGTATAATATAGTGATTAAAAGCATAAACTCTGAAGTCAGATTGCTCAGGTTTAAACTTCAACCAGTTATTTAACTAGCTGTTTTGGATTCATTCTTATCTATAAAAAAGGGGATGCTATAATAATGCTACATATATCATGGAATCATTTTAAGGAGAGAAATTCTATGAAAAGTTTACTATAGAGCTTGACCCACAAAAGGCACTAAGTAAATGTAAATTCTTATATCCTTCTAGACTTTTTTTCTATCCATATATGGACATATGTATGCATCTGTGTATATAAGGATATAAGAGTTTACATTTATTTAGTGCTTAGCTATATATACAGTATAAAATTAAGATTTAACTGAATACATTATTTCATAACTTACTTTTATATGGTGAAATATCTATATCAACAAATATATTTTTCTTTCTCTTGTTTAATAACTACATAATATTCCAATGTACCATAATGTATTTAGGTTGATATTGGTCATTTAGGCTGTTTCTAGTTTTCCACATACTATTATAAACATAGTGTTGAGCATCTTTGAATATAAATCTTTGTGTACATTCTTCAGTGTCCTTTTAAGCTATATTACCAAAGGTTTGTGGTTTGGTTTTTTACTAAGTAAATTTATTTCTCTAAACATTAGCATTCTGAGTAAATATTTATTAATAATAACAATGAAATATATTTCATCAAATCTAAACATCACTGGTTATAGATACATTTGTTTAATGACCATTAATAAAGAAAAAACAAAAACTAAAACACTGCTGAAAAGATTAAAAAAGACTTAAATAAATGAAAAGATGTTCTATGTTCATGGATTGGAAAGCTTAATATTATTTAGATGTCAGTACTACCCAACCTTAATGATGTGATTGTTGTTGTTGTTGTTGTTATGTGCCATCGACTCAAACCCCTCTTTGGGTTTCCGA